GTGTTAAGATATTTTTTATTTTAAAAATTTAAATATCGTCTGCCACTAAGCGTGCCATCATAAAAGTACGGTCCAATAAGCTTCCCACCACCAGACTGTTTGAAAAATAGTTTCAACGTGACCAGACTGTGTTAGTGTCATCCCAGTATCGATGATTTTGTTTAGTCATTAAACCATTGTTAGTAAATTTTGATATATTAAATATCTTGTGTATTAATGATTTAATTGGGGATTATACATAAAAATGATAAAATTTGATAATATTAGATACTCAATTATAAACTTTAAGGTATTGTACGATTATGAATACCAGTTCTAGTTAATATATTAAATATCTTGTGTATTAATGATTTAATTGGGGATTATACATAAAAATGATAAAATTTGATAATATTAGATACTCAATTATAAACTTTAAGGTATTGTACGATTATGAATACCAGTTCTAGTTAATATATTAAATATCTTGTGTATTAATGATTTAATTGGGGATTATACATAAAAATGATAAAATTTGATAATATTAGATACTCAATTATAAACTTTAAGGTATTGTACGATTATGAATACCAGTTCTAGTTAATATATTAAATATCTTGTGTATTAATGATTTAATTGGGGATTATACATAAAAATGATAAAATTTGATAATATTAGATACTCAATTATAAACTTTAAGGTATTGTACGATTATGAATACCAGTTCTAGTTAATATATTAAATATCTTGTGTATTAATGATTTAATTGGGGATTATACATAAAAATGATAAAATTTGATAATATTAGATACTCAATTATAAACTTTAAGGTATTGTACGATTATGAATACCAGTTCTAGTTAATATATTAAATATCTTGTGTATTAATGATTTAATTGGGGATTATACATAAAAATGATAAAATTTGATAATATTAGATACTCAATTATAAACTTTAAGGTATTGTACGATTATGAATACCAGTTCTAGTTAATATATTAAATATCTTGTGTATTAATGATTTAATTGGGGATTATACATAAAAATGATAAAATTTGATAATATTAGATACTCAATTATAAACTTTAAGGTATTGTACGATTATGAATACCAGTTCTAGTTAATATATTAAATATCTTGTGTATTAATGATTTAATTGGGGATTATACATAAAAATGATAAAATTTGATAATATTAGATACTCAATTATAAACTTTAAGGTATTGTACGATTATGAATACCAGTTCTAGTTAATATATTAAATATCTTGTGTATTAATGATTTAATTGGGGATTATACATAAAAATGATAAAATTTGATAATATTAGATACTCAATTATAAACTTTAAGGTATTGTACGATTATGAATACCAGTTCTAGTTAATATATTAAATATCTTGTGTATTAATGATTTAATTGGGGATTATACATAAAAATGATAAAATTTGATAATATTAGATACTCAATTATAAACTTTAAGGTATTGTACGATTATGAATACCAGTTCTAGTTAATATATTAAATATCTTGTGTATTAATGATTTAATTGGGGATTATACATAAAAATGATAAAATTTGATAATATTAGATACTCAATTATAAACTTTAAGGTATTGTACGATTATGAATACCAGTTCTAGTTAATATATTAAATATCTTGTGTATTAATGATTTAATTGGGGATTATACATAAAAATGATAAAATTTGATAATATTAGATACTCAATTATAAACTTTAAGGTATTGTACGATTATGAATACCAGTTCTAGTTAATATATTAAATATCTTGTGTATTAATGATTTAATTGGGGATTATACATAAAAATGATAAAATTTGATAATATTAGATACTCAATTATAAACTTTAAGGTATTGTACGATTATGAATACCAGTTCTAGTTAATATATTAAATATCTTGTGTATTAATGATTTAATTGGGGATTATACATAAAAATGATAAAATTTGATAATATTAGATACTCAATTATAAACTTTAAGGTATTGTACGATTATGAATACCAGTTCTAGTTAATATATTAAATATCTTGTGTATTAATGATTTAATTGGGGATTATACATAAAAATGATAAAATTTGATAATATTAGATACTCAATTATAAACTTTAAGGTATTGTACGATTATGAATACCAGTTCTAGTTAATATATTAAATATCTTGTGTATTAATGATTTAATTGGGGATTATACATAAAAATGATAAAATTTGATAATATTAGATACTCAATTATAAACTTTAAGGTATTGTACGATTATGATACCATTTTAGTTGTATTACAAATATTATCCCTGTTTTAATAATTAATATATTAACTAGAACTGGTATTCATGTCATATGCAGTCTACCGCACACTTKTCGTCTACCATGTATGTTTCTACGCATCATATGCCGTCTACTGCCACGTACCTATATGTATTTTTTTGGCTTAAAACTTCGAATTATTAAAAAAATGCATGGTATATCTCCATCATTGCTGCTCTTGTATTTGGCGGAACAATGGTGGCATCTAAAAAACAAGAATTACAACACATATAATTGTTTTTTAAGAGATGTGAAATTATATTGTACCTAATTTAAATTGATTGACAATGCAAATCTCTATATAATCTTACATTTTTTGTCAGTTAGTTTTTAATATATATACTAATTAAATTTACCTATATATTATAATGAATTACCTAATGCATATTTTTATATATTTTTTCATTTTTTGTCAGTTAGTTTTTAATACATAATATACTAATTAAATTTATCTATATATTTTTATATATTTTTTTGTATTATTAAATATTTTATTGAAATTCTACATTATTAAATATATTGTAATCTTACATTTATGTATTCATTCATATTTTTAACTATGTGGTAGACGTAAAATGTGCGGTAGATCGCATATGACGTGTAGAAACTTGCGGTAGACCTCATATAATATGAATACCCTAGAACTAATTATAATTTTTACATAAAATCACCTAGCATTTTTAATTAAATTTCAATTAATATTAAATTATTATGTTTTAAAATTTTTTTAATTTTTCTCTTAATACTGACCTATCGGGCATATTTATATTTTCTTTTTTGGTATTTTTAAATTTTTACACTGATATTTGTATTGATTGGTTTATTATTATTATTATTTGATGTCCAATTGTCCAAAAATTTGTGTCGATTTGTCTTAGTTTGTTTCTTACACACCATACTGACAATTTAATAGAATTTTGTATTCTGAAATATTTATATTTTTAAACTTAAATAGACTTGTGATTTGTAATTATTGTTATTTCARTTTAACTTAAGTTAACACACAATCTGATTATGTTTTATTTTTAAAATAGATTTTTTTTTTGTAAATATTCAAATCTTTTATATAATATTATATTACATACAGCCTCTTGACTTGCATTTTATGTTAGTAAAAAGCTAAATTAATATATCTACTAACATTTTGTATACTCAGTGCTGGACTTAGGGAAAGGCTACCACATAATAGGATATTTTTGTACTTTAAACAATAGGTAGGTAGGTTGGTACATATTTAAAGTATTGAGTAGTAATTGTTTGAAAGTAACAATACTTTATCAACTTTAGTTTGTTTATTACATGTTACATAATTATGTTATAATTTTTTCAAAGTCTGTTTCAATATAAAATAAAGCATATCAGCACTATATGAAATTATAAACATTTCCTTAAGTATAACACTTGGCCATTCAAATGTGTATTGAAAAAAAAAAATTAAAATTAATCAATAATTATGCAATAAATATGTATTACATGTATATTATATATTTTTAATTTTAAGTCATCGCAATTCAATTATTATTACTTTTTACTACATACTTATTTGCACCATACTTTCATATAAATTTTTTTCAATTTTCTTGATATATTCGTTTTTCTT